TTAAGGATTATTGCAATTGTTAAAACTCTTGGTAATGGAAAATTTTTTGGCCTAATTGAAATGATTGTAGAATTTGATCCAATAATGCAAGAACATATTCGTCAAATTAAAGTTAATGAAATTCATAATCATTATCTTGGACATATAATACAAAAATGAATTGATAAATTTATTAGTGGGTGAAATTAAAACAAAAATTGTCAAAAAAATTATAGAAGCAAAATATTTTTCAATCATACTTGATTGTACACCCAACATAAGTCATCAAGGAAAAATATCTTTTGTATTACGGTGTGTGGATATTTCATCAACTCCAATTCAAGACTGAATATCCTTTAGAATTTTTAAAAGTAGATGATACAACAGGAAAAAGTCTTTTTGATGCTATCATGAATGAAATAAATATTGTTGGACTTGATATTAGAAACCTAAGAGGGCAAGGTGATGATAATGGGTCTAATATGAAAGGAAAACATTAAGGAGTTCAAAAATTTTATAGATATTAATCCTAGATCATTTTATGCTTCATGTGGTTGTCAGTCTTAATTTGGTACTTTGTGATATGGCAAATTCTTGTCCTAAAGCTATATCTTTTTTTTGGAGTGCTACAACGTATATATTCATTATTTTCTTTTTCTACTAAAAGATGGAAAATTTTACAAGATCATATACCTAGCCTAACTCTTAAATCATTGTCACAAACACGTTGGGAAAGTTGTACTAAAAGCGTAAAAGTCCTAAGATTTCAAACTTCACACATTAGAGATTCTTTATTGAAAATAGTTGAAGTTAGTGATGATCCTAAAATTAAAAGTGAAGCTAAATGTTTAGCAACTTATGTACTTGAAAATTTTGAGTTTTTGTTAGGCATGACTATTTAGTATGATATATTATTTGCAGTTAACTCAGTTAGTAAGAATTTTCAATTCAAATATGTATATAGATGTTGTTATATATTAATTAATTAAAAGGTCTTGTTTCATTTTTTGAAAAATATAAGATCCTTCTCGACGTTCTTTAAGCCAGATCTTTAGGAAGGCTGGTTCACAAACGTCAAAGCCAGCTGTCGTCATCAAGTGTCCTTTTCCTTCTAATAGGGATGTGTAAATTCAGTGACTATTAGAGATCATATACTACTTATAGAACCATGTTCACAATTCCAGTAACTATTGTTTTAGTGAAAATAAGTTTTTCAAAATTAAAATTAATAAAATCTTATTTAAGATCAACAATGTCCCAAGAAAAATTGAATGGATTAGTTTTATTATCAATTAAAAAAAATGTTAAACAAAATTAATTATAACAATTTAATAAATAATTTTAAATTTCAAAAGACTAAAAAAATAAATTTTAAATAAAATTATAATATTTGAATAGATATTTTTATTAATTTAGGAAATGTCCCATTTGCTTTAAGCCTAGAAAAGTGTTTAGCCGGCTCTAGCTCCCCTTCCTGTTGTTGAGTGCCATAATTAATGGCATGCCTTCGAGAGGAATTATATGCGATGAATGAGTAAGAGAAAGAAATTAATTATGAAAGATAAGAGAATAATAATAAGTAAAATAGGAGAGAGAAATTTTACTTCAAATACCATACTGAATTACCATAATATCTTTAAAATAAATTTATTAAAATAAAGAATGAAATGAGTCTTTTTATCCAAAATACTTTATGTAAATTATTAACATATTCCAACTAAAAATAAAGTGAGAGTATGTTAATAATTCCATATATATATATATATATATAAATAAACTTATTTTTATTTTTAAAGTAAATAAATTTCTTTATATTTATATATTTATATATATATATATATATTATGTTAATAGTTACAAAATATTTGTAATCTTTTCCGTCTTGGGATGAGACCACCAAGCAATACCTCTATTATAATTTTTCCCATTGATAAAAAACATAACCAATCCTGAATCTAATTCAGAGTTCACAAAGATGAAGAAGAAAATCTAAATCTGACTGAAAAGAGCTTGCGGGCGAACCATATATATATATAAACAAATTATGTTTCTTACATCTTGGACAAAAGAGAATGGACTCGAATTTCCATGGCAGTTAAAGAGACATAAGTAGTGTGTTGTCGTGGCCGTGGCCCTACTGATACAGGTGGTCGCCATGCAAAGGAGATGTTATTAAGAACCCATTTATTTAGTCAAGCCACTTTCTGTCATGCTGTGTGTTACTTGCAGACACTGACACCAATAAAAGTTGGAGGAAGTTGCATGCAGTTTAATTCACAGTTTACACCTCACCAATACTACATTTCATGCATATATACGCGTACGTATCAATAATTAAGGATATGTTAAGTATAGCAATTGAGGAGAAAAGAGAAATAGATGGATCTAAACACCAAGTAATTAATACAAACAATACTTTTATTTTTCTGCTATATAATAAGAAATTACTCTAGTATTTGTAAATTATATATGATATAAAATGATAAGAAGGTTGATTCTCATGTTTGAATTTTATTAAGTATAATAAACAAGATTATAAAACTTTATTTAGCCGTTTAAAAAACATATTTAAATTGAATTAATTATATTAATGTGACTTTTTTTTATAATTTTTTTGACACCTGATAAAAAAAACTTATTCCATTTCATGCATTGATAATATCATAAATACAAATTAGAATACGAATAATATCATAAAGATATTGTGACTCTTAAATACCGATTATAATATTGAAAATTTCTTTAGAATTATATATATATATATATATATATATATATATACATACATACATATATATAT